TTTTTTGGCATCATTGTGGCTACACTTTGAGGTGTGGGTAACTGGGTATGCTTTGGGTACACTTATTTATATGTGTTATTTTTTCTTTTAACATTGTGGCTACGCTTTGAGGTGTGGGTAATTTGCATAATGAACCTGTACAACATGTTTCCATCCGACATCACATTTATCACCCTATTTACCCATCACCAATCATATACCTTCACCATCGCGCCATAACCACTATGTTTGTGCCACCACCATGCCATGACATCCACCACTGCTACTGTTCAATAATGGCGACAACCACCTTTTATCCATTTTTCGCTGAGGCTCAGTTGTACATAGCCATTAACCAATGCCTTAAATGATATTAAGTGCCGACAAATATATCTAAAGCACCTCGGTAACATGTGACTGAGTAATTGTTCAGTCAACATTATCAAGGTCTTTTACATGGGATTGATGGCAGACAAGTGAATTTATGTAGGGAGTTCGGTCATGTACGAGCAAACTATTTTGGCGAGAACACATGACCAAACTACCTCGGTAACATGTGACTGAGTAATTGTTCAGTCAACATTATCAAGGTCTTTTACATGGGTTTGATGACAGACAAGTGAATTTATGTAGGGAGTTCGGTCATGTACGAGCAAACTATTTTAGCGAGAACACATGACCAAGCTATCTGAGGGAGAAAAGAGATAACAAGAAAAGATGTGGTTACATGATGGGATGGTAGTGATGGGTAGGGGTGATTTTGGGGTAGAAAAGTAGCCTACAAATTTGAGGCTATACTTATAGCTTCATTTCAGTTTTGTAAAGCTTATGTCTTTGAACTGCCTCATGGCGCATGACAATAAGTAGGCCACAATACTTCATCCTCTTTGGAAAGGATAAAATAACCCTATTAGAAGCGGTTTGAAAAGTTCAAAACAGATTAGTTTGAAAGAATCTTAAAATTCAAAACACTTTAGGTTTGAAAGAAATCAAATATTGCTTTTTGACCCAAAGTTTTTCTGTGTCATTCAAAAGTAAAAGCTGTAATATCTATGCTTCATTGTAGTTATTCATGTTACATACAAGGTTCAATTTTTTTGGAGTTTATAATTTGTTTCTCGCATCTATAATTTTGATGTTGAGGCACTCTAGGAGGCCATCCTGTTATATTACTTACATTATTTGATTTTCTGTTGCTCTATATAGAGATCTTCATAATATAGACAAATTTCTTGAATATAAACTCAATATCAGCATCGTTTGAGTCTGTGAATTCAATAAGGCTGAGAATGTTTTTGACTTCTTGTTAGATACTAAGAGTAGTAGGACTTAAAACTTGATGTATAAGATGTTATACATCTCATGGACTATTTGGGTGCAGTTCTCTGGAAGTTGCTTCCTTTTGCAGTAGTATGGAATATCTGGAAGGCAAGGAATAGATTCATCTTTAAAGGAAAAGAGATGATATTTTAGACTCTTTGACCATTCAGACACAATCATAAAAGGGACACTGGTTTTGGACTGCAGACCTCAAGGAGAGAGCAGATTACAGGACCTTGTAATTAAATGGGATAGTATTTTATATGGCTAGGTTTTCTTATTTCTTTACTTTTTATGTGGGGTCTGTGTATCTACTCCCTCACAAAATTTGTGCTCTCTTTCCCTATTAATAAAAGCCTATTTTATCGGAGAAAGTATGTTAAACAACATGATCAACACGAGGGGAGAGAAATTATCGGACAACTCTACCAGACAATTATATCTTCTGTTATTGCCCCAGAAATTATTACAACATGAGGGGAGAGAAGCATGGCCTAATACATGCTAACTAGGTTGGTGTCCTTTTGGTCGATAATCATCTGCTGCCCTCCTCAAAGGATGAGCAGGACCTTAATTAAATACAAAAGGAGCTGAATCTTATTAAGAGCCTGCAAGTGCTACTTCAGTTGAATAAATGCAAACTCCTGTCGGAGCTTTCCCTAACATAAAGAGACCCAAAGCAATGAAATGCTTTGGATTCTATGCACATCTCTCTCCCTTTATGCCTCCATCCTCTTATATTCTATGCCGAACCCCATTTGTGAACCTTCATAATACACCAAAGTATGGAATGACCATTAAACTGGTTGTAATTTGCTTAAGGAAATTGCATGGGGTCACCCACTGAACAAGTCCACGTGAAAGGAATCACTGAGTTGCATCCCCGTTGGATTCAGCTTTCCCGGTACCTGAAACACAATAGGTTATCTAAGGAAGCTTTAGATTAGTAAATCTGCATGTCCCTCTTTCTCAAATTATCCACATTATGATTTTTTCCAGGAACATTCCACCAGCACAAACTGGCACCTAGAAGGTATAGGGGTTTTCTCTTATACTTAAGAATAAGATCTATGCAAGTCATTAAACTGACAGGTTGCTAATTTTTTTGAAACAAATCAAATATCACATTTTGGTTATTTCATGCATGAGGTTTCTCTTGTGTTTTTTGGGTTTTGGTATTATATTTTGCAAGGTTCTCTCTTGTGGCATATTCTTTTGCAACTCTTAATTAGTCAGAACTGTCACAATTTTCAGATGATTATGGAGCGGAAGTTTCAACCTGTCATCATTTTCAGCTTCAGCAGAAGAGAGTGCGAGCAACATGCATTGTCTATGTCGAAACTTGATTTTAACACCGAGGAAGAGAAGGAACATGTAACAGAAGTTTTTAAAAATGCAATACTTTGCTTGAATGAAGAGGATAGAAATTTACCTGCTATTGAGTTGATGCTGCCACTTCTGCAACGAGGTATTGCCGTGCACCATTCTGGCCTTCTACCACTGATTAAAGAATTGGTGGAACTTCTCTTCCAGGAAGGACTTGTTAAGGCCCTGTTTGCTACGGAAACAGTAAGCTTGATATCTTCTAAGTTCTAATAATATCTTTCATTCATAGGTTCTGTTTATTTTCCGTAAGATTATAGAGAAGATATCTATGCATGCTTAAAAACTATAATTGTACATTGCTTAAAACTACCTAAAAACTATAATTGTACTTTGCTTAAAGATATCTACACATGCTTAACAATGATATCTAGCAATTTCAGTGCATCCTGTTTTAGGCACATTCCTTTTATTATAGGAAGGTCTGTATAACACATTTCTTGGTTTTCGTATTTGACAGTTTGCCATGGGTTTAAACATGCCTGCAAAAACTGTTGTATTCACATCTGTTAAAAAATGGGATGGTGACAGTCATCGATTTATTGGATCGGGTGAATATATCCAGGTAGGTGAGATCTTATGATCATTATTATCATGGGATAAGTTTGCAGTTTTGCACTCTTTTACTATTGATCATCTTTTTCCTTTTATAAATAGATGAGCGGAAGAGCAGGACGTCGTGGAAAAGATGAACGTGGTATTTGTATCATAATGATTGATGAGCAGGTTGTTTTTGCTACCCATCTTTTTCCTTTTATCATAAATTAAGTGATTTCTTTGATATAACCTTGATTACATCAAGAAGAAACAAAAAACAAAAAAGGAATTATTTAGACACTAACTCTCTAGTGACCCCCAAATTAAAACCTGAAGACGCAATGCTAGTCTTCCCAATGTACCACCACTAACTGGTGTACTATCCCATTCCTCCTCCCTCAGTATCATCTCAAACTCATAATCATCATCGTCATCCTCTACCCATCTCCCTTTTACTTAATTATCACAACCTCCTCTTTCTTCAAGCTTACATCCATGTTTTAAGCATTTATAATGTAGATGGGGAAATTGTAAAAGAATAGGGGTCTATAGGGTGTAAGGGGTTCTCTTGTAATGCTGTCTCTTCATGTTGTTCTCTAACGTGTGTATGTGGTGGTTAGTACTTGCTAAGCCCACATCGCATGAGGGGAGGGGTTGTAATCTCTTTCATTTTTAATGGAATACCTTTTATCGGTAAACTAAAAAAAGCATTTAAAAGAATCTCACTTAGCATCAGTGAACTCCACAGTTGCCAGCAAGCTTCATTGGTACAGTCTGTAGGAGTTATTCCCACAGGCCTGGTTCAATAAAATCTTATTTA